CCTTGACAAGATTATTCCTCTCTCGCTCCTCTTTGAAGATTTGCTTGAACCGATGGCGACTCCAAATCTTCCCCCCCAGCTCCGCATTCTGTCTGCGCTTCTCGACGACCTTTTGGTAGTGATGCCAGATGAGCTTGACTCGTTTCGGTCGCAAGAAGTGATTCCGGACTCCTATCGTGCTGAGCACGGTGATGAAAAAGCCAAGAGAGATTTGCAACATGATGTACAACTCTATCGGCTTCACATCGCGATGGACCTGTGCCAAGATCGTGGCGATGATGACTGCAAAGACAAATATGGCGTTGACCCCGTGGACATCCTCGATGCTTTCCTCGTCCACCAGCATGCGGATCCAGGACGAGATCCATTGGCAGTAGACGCCGATGCGCACGCCAAGGCCGTATAAATCCTCATTGCCATCGATGGAGCATCCGTCTTTGTTCATGGAGGGCGATGTCAAGGCATCTGTGGTCGAACAGTTGTGAGCTGGATGCCCAGGGACGTTTGGAGGTTGGAGTTCACCCGAGATGAGGTTGCTGTAGCGCCATCGGCACCAGATGCGACTGCACCGCTTTGGGGTGAATCCGTTTGGCACGAATGAGGCAATCTGCCACTTATGCAATCCGGCCGCTTGACTGCAGCCGCCCCGCTCAGCCCGCCACGGAGGTGAAGATGATGTCTTAGGCGTAGAATTAGCGGGCGCCACGGTCCCGCAAACATTGATATGAGCATATCTGGGCATGTTCCGGAGCGGGTGGTAATCTGCATTCGGTTTATTCAATTGTCAAAAATCATTTGACACGAAGGGAGATACCGAGTGGGAATAACTAGCAGATTGAGTCATCACCGTTGCAGAGTCCGACGCCGGCATCCAAAGTTCAGAAACTGCCACCTTTCCTCGCATCATCCTTCTGACCTTTTCTAAGCATTGCAACCACTTGATGCTTGAATGTTTCATGCTTCTTTGAAACTTCCCTTCCAACAAGAAAACACCTTGTCGCACGCCGCTCCAAGGTCGGGTTCCAGCGATGGAACCATTTGAAGTCTCTACAGGCATCTGAAGCTTTCCCTGCTCACCAAACCTATCAACAAGCAGCCACTGAACAATCTTCGGGAAGAACTGTGCTGCGTTCACTGCGCTCGTCCAGGTTTTCTCGCTCTTGTACTGTATTTTGGCGCTATGGAAAACCAATATCTTTACCACTTCCGCTCGACCTTCATGGGCAGCAGCCATCAGTGCGGTTCCTGAAGCTGACCCTTCACACTCCACATCCAGTCCCATTTTCAGCAGATTTCTAACTTCGTCAACACGGCCATGGCAAGCCGCAAAGCAAAGGAGGCTGAAGTTTCGACTCTTACTCGTTGTGTCTTCAAACTGGCCCAGCCTTCGGAAGAAGGTAGGACCCGGGCGCCGGTAGAATAGTAGGAGGCACCGTCGACTGAATTCTTTTTCGAAAACCTGTGCCTGCCACCAGGAAGGCCAGAGTACCATCGTTTGAGGGTCAACGGCAATGTCGCGAGCAAAATCCGAGTTGAGAATAAATGTCGCTACCTCGACCTTGAGCAGGGCAGACGACCAGACAGGGAGACTCAAGGCCCCTGGCTAATTGATACTCATGCCTGCCGCCAGCAGCATATGAAATGGCTTGATTTTGTCCAGGTATATGAACCTGTTGCCTCCGTCATTGACCTCAACTCGTATCCCTTTGTCTAGCGGGACTTCGATCGCGTGGATATTGTCTTTGAGGACAGCTGTCTGGAGCGCCGTGCAACCTCGGCAGTCTCTGACGTCGATTGAAGCACCTTGGTCCAGTAAAGCCTCTACCATAGCGGCATCGTCATGGCCTGCCGCCGTGTGCAAAAGGGGTCATGCCCGATGAATTTGCTGCGTCTGGGTCCGCTCCATGCGCGATAAGAAGCTTCGCCGCGGGCACATTCTTTTTGATCGTCGCTCGGTGTAAAGGAGTGTTGCCGCTATCGCCTCTCGACTGCGTGGCTACTTCCTTCGCCAAATTGCGACCGAGAGAAGACTCAACTCGCTTCAAATGCGAGAGTAAGACCGCCAATGGATAGCTGGACTTTCTTTTAATGGCTCGGTGTGCTGGTGTCGAATTATTTACGAGCCAAATAAGTTCTGCCGGGGGAATGGTTTCTAAATAGGTAAGGAGAGTCTCTCCGGGTCTCCCGCCTTCCATGAAGAAATCAAGTGTTGTGAAACCACTAATAGGCCACGCTTGATCATCTGAATTGCTGTCCTCAGATGAGGAGGATGAAGAATCAGACGTTGACGAACTGCCACTGCCACTGCCATCGTTAATCTTTGAGCCCCTTTGCCAGCCTTGCCAAGTAACTGCGTTGTACCGTCTACCATTGCCGTGACGACGACAAGCCATTCCCTTAAAGCTTGCTCCTCGACTGATGAGAACTGACACACAGCGTTCAGAGACGTTGTTCTTTCCCAATGCATAGAGAAGAGGAGTGCACGTTCGACAAGACCTCATGATAATGTTAGGCGAGCATCCCCCATCGAGAAGCTTCTCGACGTCTTCTTCATCATCTCCGTCGATTGCATGCTTCATAGAGCCCGCCCATACTGTGGCTTTCATGTGCCTCTCTTGAGCAGTCATACCTTCGCCAGTGGCTGCTGCACCCAGAATGGAGTCCTGAACCATTTGCATGATGTTCTTACTTCGAAACGCGGTTATGTCTAACGGAGTCTTGCCATTCTTGCTCTTCAGGTGCTTTGCACCCAATTTCAGCAACAATGCTGTGACCGACTCGTTATGATGATGTATGGACATGTGGAGGGCCGAAAAGCCATGATGGTCCTGGGCATCAATATTTGCACCGCGGGATACGAGAAGGGTGATCGAATCATGTTGTCCAAGAAGTGTGGCTATGTGTAGCGCAGTCGTCCCATCCGATGTAGTGATATCAAGATCAATCGCGTACTCCTGATTGAGAAGATAGGCTACCGTCTCTGCCGAGCCTATTGTCGCAATATGTAAGGCTTTCGCCTGTGTGTAGTTGTAGGAGCTGGTGCCGTAGTCCCAACATGTAAGACACACGGTCACTTCGAAATCCCACAGTCGTTGATTGCCGGCCATAGTAACCATTTCTTCTAAAAAAGAGGTCCACCCGTAGGCGCAAGCCCATGAGACTGGAGTCCACCCGTAGGCGTCGCTGGTACTTAGACTTACTGCGCCTCCTCGTCTCAAGAGAACCCTTGCGCTGTCAAGGTTTCCAGCCATTATGTGGATGAGCAATGGCGATCTGTTGCCTGGCTGACTTAAGGTGTTTGGATTACATCCTTCGTCCAGTAGCGATCGCAGAAGTGTGACTCTTCGCGTCTTGCTCGGCCTTCGAAAGCGAGAAAAGCCCCCCGTTTCAAGCAGATAAACCACGCTTCCAGGTAGTCTTGGATTAACACAATTCCATCTAGCAGGCAAACAAAATTCGAACGCTGGTGTTCGTGGAGAGAACAGTCTAGGTTTGGCGCTTCCGTGAAGATGCAATAAGCCAACGAGCTCCTCCCCTGTTTCGTAACGGTGGAGATCGTCAATTCGAGCTTTGTCTGTCCTCTGAAGTATCTTTTCCAATATCCTGACGGAGGATTGGCTGTGTCCATGGGTGCAAATGAGCTCAAGCGCATTGAAAGAGTTTCCCCTTGAGCCGGTTCTGGCATGAACGTCCACACCAAGTGAAAGAAGACGGTCCACTAGGTAGACAGAGTCGTGAACAACGGCCCAGTGCAGAAGCTGTAGGTCTAGCCCCGTTCCCTTCAGATCTGAGTGATCTGTCGTGGCGTCGATCACAGAGCCAAAGATACTATCCAATATCATGACAAGTTCGGATTTGATTCTCGGGCTTTCGGGGACGTCGCAACTGAGAAGGGTTTTCACTTCCCTGAGCGCAGAGATCCCAGTCACTGTCTCGTGATTCGCCAAGCAACCCGTGTCGACTAAGATATCGACTAAAGCTGACGCCCACTGAACTCCTGACGGCGGAGGCTTAGACAAGACTTCTATCAGATGGTCAATAACCATCGACCATATGCTCCGCTGGTGTGGGTCTAATGAAAGAGGTAGCTCTGTGGAAATGAGAAGTCTGAGAACGTCCTCTTTGTAGGTCGAAAATGAGCTTGAGGATAGGTAACAGCCGACAGGGCTCTTCCACTTCAAAGAATCTTGATAGGAATAGATAGCCAGAAGCTGCTTCACGGCATCGATATGCACATTCGGCTGTAGATCATGCAGAGGCGTCTGATCGTCTGGAACCGGTAGAACGCAGCGGCTATGAAGTTCTTGCAGGGTTTTGGGGGACTGGATGCCTGCGATGATGGCATTTACCGAGGGTCGAGCGCTCTGTAACATGTCTTTACTTGCTTGACAGTGTTTGAGGATGATGCTGGCATCATGATAATCTGGATGACCCGTAAAGAGGGCGTTGGCCAGTGGCGTCCGCCCATTGATGTTATCAAGTGCATGCAACGCTATTTCGCGATCTTCCTTTCCGACATGCGTCGACATCAGTACCTGAAGAATTCTTCCAGACATCCACCCGACGGTTGATAGGTGCCAGATGTTGCGACCCTCTCTATCGGTGGTTGTTGCCTTGGACCCATGTTTCAAAAGGCTCACCAGGACGTCCTCGAACACATTCTTCGTACATCTGAGCAGCAGTCTTCCCATTTTGACATCCTCACTTTCAGACCCAGAGAAGCGATCGAGTAGAAAGCTTAAGCAGTTGGCGGCCAGATTCGACATAGCGTGGTCAAGAAGACCATCCAGCGTGTCGTCCTGAAGTAGCAGTTGACCTCGTGGTGTTTGACCGGTTTCCTTCAAGGCGCTCAAGGAATCGCTCTCAATGGCCTTTTTCATCCTCTCGACAAGCATATCATCCGTCACAGCCTCAAGGGCAGGCAGTGGTACATCGATATCATGCATGTCTGGGACTACATGTCGGAATGCTGTGAGATATGCTGAAGCTTCTGCCTCTCCCTACAAAACCATGTCTCCAAGAATCTCCAAGATGGTAGCCACATCTAATCTTGCTTGCTCCTTTTTGTATTTCGTCCACTCCCGACACCGTAATCGAAATGTGTGGATGGCGTCATCGTGCATTTGAGCACCACCCTTGACCATCGCGGCAAAGATTCGATAGTTCCCTGCCCACTCAGACGACTTCAGCCCCAGAGCGCCCATGGAGTTCCACGAATACCGGGCTGGAAGAGGTCTCGTGCAATCAGCTCCTGCTTCGATCAACGTCTGCAAGAGCTCTATCGAAGGCTTCTCCACTGCAGAGATCCTGTTCCATGTTCTGTACGTCTTTCTGGTAGATAGATCGTGGCACGCAATCAGGAACGGGCCGCCGAGAGCGCATTGCAATGGTGAGCCTATCCGACTCATTCGGTGTACATCAGACTGATTCGCAAGCAGAGTATCACAAAGACGTTTCAACCCTAAAAGGCAGGCCATATGTAGCGGTGTGAAGTCGCCGCGTCGAATGAAATGAGCCAAACGTCTCGTCTGGCCTTCTTGCCACTTCCAGTCTGGATGTTCCCTCTGTCTCAAGAGCCAAGATCTTGGTTTAAGGGATTCGATAATTTCCTCTGATCCCGAGGACTCTGATGATGCCGAGGATCTTGATGTGCCCCAATGAGACCCGGACGGTCCTGTACATGCTTCCGTGGATTCAGAGCACAAGGAAACACTGCTGCTATTCCACCCGTTTGGCCGATAGTGAGTACCCACACTCCAGGTCTTGTCTTTGAACCGATCGTTGACCCAGCCATTCCAGGAACCTCCAACGCGGTAGAAGTGACAGACTTCCAAGGACCATGCTTTGAAGTTCGAGGTTTGCGCGGGGTTGCAAAGTTCCATAGCTTGCTGTCTGAACTCCTCGTCGTCCCAAAGCTCGTCTGCTAGTCGGGGCCAAACCAAAGCCGCATATCGATAAAACGGTAGCCGCCTCCGCCTGTTGGACAAGAATCTGTCTTCAGAGTTCAATCTTTTAGGAAGCCGTGAGAAATGATTGAGACACAAGAAACGAAGCGCACATATACCGAGGAGGCGCCGAGTTCGAGATTCCGACAGACGGTATCCCGCGAATTCTGGATCAGTGGGGTCTATTTGTTCCAGAAACTCTTTGACCGTACGGTGTGCCAGCCCGAACTCTTCTCCGTGAGTTGACTTGGTCAGAAAGATGCCACATGCATCCATGATCTCATTTTCATCGACTTCAGGGTATTCCAACTCATCGGCATTCAGCCCGGGTATGCCTGCCACCGATATCGCGTGGCAAAGCTCATGGCTCGTGAGCGGAGGGTCCGAGAATGCAGTTAATTGAAGAGCAGATTGAATCAGAGCTTGGGTCGAAGCCCGCTGTTCATTGCAGCGCTGGAGGGTCAGCTTATATATTGCTTCCAGATTTTGCGGAAGTGTCTTCGACATCTCCTGGAAACTTTCCGTCGTGGCGTATCGCGCGATATACCCGATCGAGCAAGATGCAAACTGGAAGCTTGTGCTTGGTCAGTTCACACCCTCCGACAGTTGAAGGTTACATCACCTACCTTGGGTTTTTAACACGACCAAAGCTCTGAATGACATTATCTTTCAGTTGCAAGTTGTGGAAGACTGAATTCGCCCCCATGGCCATCTTCTCAATCTCTGTGGCGGCGAACATTTCCAGCTGGTTTCTGTCGGGCTCAAATTCCTTGCAACAAAGCGCTTCGACAAAGCTACCTTTGAGAGTGGTCTCTGTTCTTTGCCGATAGCGCGAGACCATGGCTAATCTGAAGTTGCCAGATCCTGAAGCTAATGAAGCCATCAATTGCGTGACGGCATCGCCCTCGTCAGGGCACTCATCCACTCCATCAACGACACATAGAATCTGCCGGAATACTTTCGTCATAGCGAAGAATACTGCCTTCATTCTTTCTATAGTCGGGATTTCGACTAGTCTTCGAGTTCGCAACTCGGAGTAGTAATTCCCGAGTATAGTCATTGCCGACGGGTGCTGTACGGCAATCTGGGCAAGAAGAGTGCTGAGGAAATAAAAGCATTCGTGGGATCGTGGGTCTGAGAATCGACAGAAGGCAAAGATTACCGCGGTGGCTTGATCAGAATAGTGTGTATGGATCGCGGTTTCGATGAGTGTGGCGGCAAAAGTCGTCTTCCCGGCTCCGGGGCCGCCTGTGATCCAAAGATGGGAGCTTTTGTCGTTGGAATTACCGTAGTCTATCTAGCGTCGGATGAGTTCATGTTCCAGCAACTCATATTCTGTCCAGTTGGTTCGTTTGCTGACAGTCCGCGTGAGGACTTCAAGATGGTCAACCCTTGCGAAGAACGACGTCACGGTGGAGTTCTCCTTTGAGTACCTGCAACGGCCCATCACGTATCTTCTGACGACTTCTCTGCGATTTGGAGAATGTCGATCTTTCCCTTTAGAAAAGCTTTGCAGCAGCTCGTTCATGGAGTTGGAGGAAAGAGCCCTAGTAACAGCCTTCTTGTGTTGACCAATTTCTTGTATCAGGTCAACGGTCCACGCTGTCGTGAAGGGCCATCTCAGCTTTGCTCGTGGTTTGAGATCTTCCTCCCGTTTTATGACATCGTAGGTAAGCTTCCTACGGCTCAAGCTTGCCTCGAATTTCATCAACGTCTGTCGGCAAGAGAATAGCTGTTGCGGTAGCTTCGGCGAGCGGAGGCCATAAACATCGTCAAGGACCTGATCGTGATCTTCGTCAAAGGTGGAAGCCACCAAAGTGAGTCGATGCAGTAATCCAGCCAGATCTTGGATCTCGGTTGCAACGCGGCGGATTTCGTCTCGCCTCTTGATGTCCATGAACGGGTCAATCTTGTCCTTCGCAAAATCGTATGTGCTTCGGAATGCATTGTCGGCCACAGCCACCAAGCCGCGAAGGCTGTCAACGACTTCAGTTGGCTCCATGGTAGTCACAGAGTCTGGCCTGCTCCAGATGACGAGCTTTCCTAAGGACAAGCGCTGTGGCGTAGGTGTCTCTGTTTTATGTCGTTGACCGGAGTCCGGTGAGGGAAATATGCAACATCGACTTGTTTTCGTGAGGGGGATTGAAGCTTTGATGCCTATTCGGCAAATTTTTCTCGATCAATCATCGCCCTGCGTGATGTGCTGACTGCATGCGTGTGTGACGTGGTGTACCTTCCCCCGCTCCTCCTGTGATACGCGGCCAATTAACGCGACAATGTCTCATTCGCGTACTCAGGTTTGCAGACCGCCAGCTTGTGAAGTAGTGCAGCTTAGATAAACGCCTCTGGATCTCAAAATTTGATATCACGAATGGATGTAAAATTACACAGCATTGAACGATTTGGAAGCTATGCTTTCGCCATGAACTTTGTCGCTGAAGGTAATCAATTGCCTGTTGGTTATCTTGCTCAATGACTCAATGAAATACGTGGTCATCTTTTAACGGGCAGCAACAGAGTCTATTCTATCACTTTCCGACTCGGATAAATATGTCTTAGTTGTTTCGAGGAATCGAAACTTCGCGTTGATGAACTTTATATAGGGTACTATTCTCATCAGTCTCTGCTACTATCCATTGCAAGTCTTGATATTGTCTCCGTCTATCGAGTCTGTGGATTCAAATATTCATTCGGTCGTATTGAAATATTTTATTTCACTTTGATGTCCTTGATATCTTCGTCCTTTATGGTTCTGGCCCTTGCGTTATCTTTGTTATGCTCAGTTACGTCCCAAGCGGGAATTCTCGCAGTCTCACTTGGATTACTTTTGCTTACTTCCCAGTATCGCACATTGCCACAATGACTCGTTGAATTGCTGTATGTAGAAACTTGCAGCTTTAGAAGACATCAAACCTGCCAAAGGCACATATGAAGGCAGGTGGTTTCGGCCCCAAGCCCTTGCGAACAGCAGTTCAGTCTAGCCCTGACACCCAACCAAGGACAATTTGATACAATAGAGACGAACTGAGACATTATAATGCCAAATTGCTCGTGTAATTCTCAGAATAGATGATTCCAGATTTGCAGATCCGCGATTCATGGGAGACCCTTCCACGGGATCCAGGGTTCCCACGGCCTCCACGGATGTTTGAGCCGACCAAAATTTCCGGAATCCGCGCGGACAAGGCGCTCGGCGGGGACCCCGCCGGTGTCTTATTCCAACATCACCCACTTCTCTGACTGTCGCCTGGTGACACAAAAGTCTATTTCGGTATGGTGTGGGCTTCAGATGAACGCCCTGGTCCCTGGATACCGTAACCGAGACCGAATATCTGACTAAGTCGAAGGGGCTCTTGAATTCTGAGACTAAAAGGTTGAGCGGCTCAGCTATTTGGCCGACAGACCATCTCAAACTTGGTCCTTCGGGCTATGGTCTTGTTCGCGAGTTCCGTGGCTTTCTTGCAAACTTTAGCTGAGTGCCCAGACCTCAATCGAAGTCCTGCTTTAGACAACCTGAATCTCGGTCGTCCCGGAAAAGCAGTAGTTGATATCGCCGTTCAGAGTTTGAAAATGACCTTTAGTTTTATTGGTAGCTATCGAGGACTTGAGGCAGATGTGCAGGCTGCTAAGGCCCAGGACAACACTCACCGGGCTTGGCTGCATATTTTTGAATGCTAATGCTGCTATCCTTGAACGTTAAGAGGATGGAGTATAAAGAGGGCATATCCGCAACAACTAGTCGATGGGTTACGATCACTCAGACCTATCCTTCCAACAAAAGTGCACTCAACGACCATCCGTTAGCCAGTACGAGGAAATCTATCAAGATGCAGTTCCTCAAGATCGTTTTCACCTTCGCTGCTGCCCTTGCAGTGCCCGCATCCGTTAGTGTAAATCCCAAATCCGAATCACGGTCAACAGCTAACGCTTTCTGTAGGCCGCAACCTGCATTCAGCTTGGAGCTTGTGCCGAGGGCAACGACATCAGACAGTGCACTTCCGGAAGCTGCCATCAGAAGCTTGGCCAAACTTGCACCATTAGCGGCAACACTGTCAGCTGCCCCAACTAAGTGACAGGCGTTCAGCAAAGACTTTTTCGATAGATGGATTCTTGATTAAAACATCAATTAAATCATAAAGACTTCTGTCGAAGATTTGCTTGAATGATCAACGCTGCACTATTATCTCAATTCCGTGACTAACCCGCGACAACTGGCTGTCTCCCAACATACCACGCCGTCAACAATGACTAGAACTCGAACACTTCTTCTTCAACGTAGAACGTGCTCTTGGTAGAGCTGACCTTGCATGCTGCGATCCTGACATCCCGGATGAGTTTACTAGGACCACAAACATTGACGGCTGCGTCCAGACAGGGGTGCATTCTCCTTACTCCCTCAAACCATCCCAACACATCCGGACGGCCTTGCCTTAACTCTCCAGGAATGTTATGTTGACTAGGTCGACCAACCATTGCGTATCCATTCTCTCCATCATCCGCCCGTGTAGCTCCTCTGCCTGTGACAAAAACCGAAAGATTAAAAGTCGCAGGTACACCAGGATCGGCAGTCAACGAAGCAAGACTTCTCAACTCGTCCCCGAACCACTCAATGCTCTCGACGTCTTTGACGGCCCACAGCATGTGGATATGCCACGACTTCCCTTGCAGAGCACAGGCATCGACGGACGCGGCTCGCTGGATAAGATCAGTCGCAATGCTGATGCCAGGAGTGATGCCAATGCCGCCGGCAACGAGCACTGTCAACGGCTGCTCGCCCCAGCAGACCCGGCCGATGCCATACGGCCCATCCAGACGCATTCGCAGCTTTACAGTTTTTATTGCCATACTTTGACGCGTGGTCACGTCCTCGCTGCTTGCCTCTCCATCACCCGGGACGATACCCTGAACTTTCCTCGTGTACCCGCCCAGCCCTCTGATCGCCAGCGTCGCATCATCATCGCCGGGCGCAGACGCGATGGTGAAGGGGTGCCAGTTAAGGAAAGACACGCTCGGGATCTGGACCCAGGTAATCTGCCCCGGATGCCGCGGTTTCAGCCCTTCGAACTTGATCTTGACGACGTCTCCGTGGTGATGCTGCACGGAAGTCGTGTTGATCGAGCGGAAGTTGTAGTAGAAGCGCAGGAAACGGTCGCAACCCCAGAGCAAAAGACCAGGGAGCAGGAACTCGGGACCTTTGGTGGCGTGGATGAGGGCGCCGACAACGAAGAGGAAGAAGAGGGCGTGGCAGTAGTAAAAACCCTCGAAGAATCGGCGGCGTATAATGGGGACCGAGGTGAGGGAGATGAGAACGAGGGACGCCCATGCCATCGCACCGACTTGAATGCGCATGTTGGAGAACGAGTCAGCAAGTTGGTCGGTGGCGATGTAGTGCTGGGTGTTCAGGGCGAAGTGGATGGTTGCGTGGACCATGGTTGCAACGCCAATCCAGCGGTGGTAGACGAGAAGAACCGGAGATGGGATTCGAGCGATGATGGAGAAGAGGTTTGTGCGTGCTGCTAGTAGTAGGGCGAGGCCGCCGTTGGCGATTGTGAGCCACCCGTAAAGTTTGAAGTCGGTAGTGAACTCGTTATCGTTTACTCCGAACAAGATGTTCAGGCCGAGAAGCACGGCGAATCTTAGGAAATTGGCGACATGGTGATTCGTAAGGGTGGGAATTGGCGATGGGAGAGTCAATAGCTTATGCAGAGCTACAGCTATGCGTGTGTGGCCCGATGATGCTTTGATGAATGGACGGCCTGGACGTGGTTGTCAGTATATGTGTAACAAATCTTTCATGCAAATTGAAAGACTTACCACGATGTGCTAAGCTGCGGAGCCGCGCAGGAAGTCGAACGATGCTCTCAAGAAAAAGCATGCCAATGACGCAGAGAAAGTAAGCCCGCGCTGCCAAATATTGATCTTGGATAACAGGTTTTTCCATGTTGAGCAAATAATGGTGTTACAGGAAAGGATAAGTTGACCGAATGTCAGGATAGAGGTATGATTGATTAGTTGAAAGTGATTTGATGGCTCAAGATGATATTTCAATATCCCCAGAACGTGGTCATTCTTATGTTTTTGTAGCAGGTTGAGTCCTCAGCTGTAGGTTCTTGGAACTTACATGGACAGGCGCCAGCTGAATGATGGCTTTGACGTGTGCCTGATGATGAGGGATCAGAACTGCCAAAGAGTGTTGTTTGGCATGATGATGGATCAACCTTTCCGAATGCAGTCAGTATGTGAGAGGCGCGGTTGGGTCTCGAGCATTGCCCGCAGACACAGAAAGCTGGACGCAACATGATGTGGCTTGCTGCTAATTAGTGCCCTGGATTTCATTGCTCCGTTGTACTTCCCCTAATTATGATTTGGAAGCTTAGATAATACAGCCTCAGCGTCTGATACCATAATCATCACATTGAATCTGCCTTGCCCAGGGGCCCCAGTTGGAGAACCTTCAGGGACATAGGAAAGGCACTGCTTTGCGACCTTAAAGGCCAATAACTTCGCAGTCTTACTACAGACATGACTCTAATGAGCAGGCTCTTCTATCAACCAATACCTTTGGTGATGTACATCAGAACGCATGAGGTGGAATCACCAACATTGAGCACTAAACTATACTACCAATTCCATCTCAAAAGGACCCTCTCTCGCCTTATTCATGAGTTTCGCGGATACATAGCCCTGAGAACCTGATCTCTGTCACTTTTCAGCATGTAAGCCACGCGCAAGGCAAAGAAGGACGTGCGTTGTTTGGACTTGAAGGACGCACGCCACCGCATACTTTAAGCTGAAGCTCGGGTACCTGCTGCTAGCGCATCACACAGTATCATCAGAATTTCCTATTTAGGCAAGTGTTAAAGTTACAAAGGATCTAGCTGGATAACACATCAAAGTTCGTGGATGCTTGGATTTGAGGGTTCTCCCACAGATGAGATGGCACTGATTCCAAAGAAGTCCAAGTCTTTTCGGTATATAACCTCCATACATGTCCGCCTCCATAGATGATTGTAACATCGCATCACTCTCAAAACACACTCACAATAATCAATTCTTACAACTCTACGCTTTTTTCACAATTAGTTTCAACCACATACAACTCAGAACAATGTTCAGCCAAAGCACCTCAGTCTTCCTCACCGGCCTCGCTGTCTTCACTGCCCTCGTCTCCGGCCAGGGCAACGACACCATGACCCAGAAGATTGGGTGGTCCGGCAAGCTCTCCTCTCTCGACGGCGGCCTCGGCGGCACAGTCACCGTTGTCGACGCTTCAACTCTCATGATCAGCGACTACACCCTCAAGGATGCCTCGGCGCCTGCACTCTACTGGTGGGGTGCCACCGACGATGTCATCAAGAACGGCTTGCGCATCTCTAATGAGCAGGTCACCAAGGCGGCGTCCACCAACAAGCTCACCATCAAGCTCGATGCCGGGAAGACGCCGGCTGATTTCTCCACTGTCGGACTATGGTGCGAGCGGCTCTCGGCCGACTTTGGGCAGGCTACTTTGAAGCCTTCGTCTGGGTCTGGGTCTGGGTCTTCGTCCTCTGGTGGCAGCGGCTCGAGCTCGACTTCTGCGGCCAGCAACCTGTCTGGATCTATGGGACGCTTGGCAGTTGTCACTGTCGGAGTTGTCTCGCTTGCCGCCTGGATAATTTAGGTGGCACAAGTCGTGATTGCCACGATACCAGTGTCGCCATGTTTTCAGACTGGCTGGGTAGACAATGTGCGACAAGATGATCTTTACGATGGATTTATCAGGGTGACAGGAAGGGCAGCATGTACATATAGTAGTTGAATGAACGTGGTTTTCCGAATCTCCCAATCGCTCAGCTCCTCCGTTGCGAATTGCCCATCGACAGTCGAAATTGGAGAGATTCGTGAAAGCAACCCGCTAAGATGCTCGCCAGTGGAACCAAAAACTCGGCAATGAACAAAAACGGGAATCTAACGTCGATAGATCTGAATCGGGCCACAGTAGTCATGGTTCGCATGGTTCGTGGGATGCTGACCCCGGATGAGGCCGCCGGGATTGCAAGATATGTATTGGATGAGTGGGAATGATTGTTCCTACTGTATGTGCTCATGATATCGCCTCATATTTCACTGTGTAGGGATTAGAGTCAAGGCACTGTATACCCCTCATCAGGCAACCAGACTAGCTGTGCCGCACCACCACTTTCTCACCCTCCCCGCCGCCGCCCAGCTCCTCCCGTCATTCTCTCCCGCCGTTCTCGACTTATTGCCTTCCCGGCAACACCTCAAATCTCGGGCTCTCTCCTTCAATTAACCATATTCTGCCTGCCAATCGATTCGCCAGCGGGAGTAAGAACCATTCATCACAGCTTCCAGCCTGGCTTACACGCCGGCTGACCTCTCCCAAATCTCACCATGTCCCAATCCAGGCGCCAAGCTCCTCTCGGTGAGCGGCCACGCAAGATCCGTAAATACATTCATCAAGGCCCGCCCTTTGCTGCGGTGCCAATACCCGCCTCGCTGCCGCCTTATTGGCCGCCTACGGACGAGCCCTTCGTCGATACGCAACTGTACGGCGGACCAGCCATCTACGGAGACAATGCCTGGTCCCAGAGCCAGGGACTCGGGCACCTCGACCAAAGCTTTATCAAAAGTTTGCCTGCAGACAGCCAGTCAGGGCTTGACATGTTCCAGCCTGCTTCTGCCCAGGCACCTCCCCCAGCGTTGAGCACCATGAGCAGCGTCACCTACTCGTCCTCATCCACCTCCCAGCCATCATCGGCAGGCTCCGGGCTGTCTCCGTCGCAGACTGAACTTCCATATGAGTGGCCGGCTCCAACATCAGCTTCGAATTCCCGCGTTCCATCGCCTGCTGAGCGGACGGTAGAGCGTGCCGAAAGCCGATTCGTCTGCCTCGGCCCGCACTGCGATGAGGCTTTCGACCGGGAGCAGGAGTTAAAGAGCCACTTCAAAGCGGTCCACACACACATTTGCAACTGGGGAGGCTGCGACCAGCCGGCGTTCTCCTCCAAGGAAGGACTGACCTGGCACGTCAAGCTAGAGCACCTTCTCGTCTGCCCCGCACCAGGATGTACGGAAAGCTCCTTCCAGAGCAAGAGAATCTTAGAGTGCCACATCAGATGTGCACATCCCGACGCCAATGAAGGCAACGGGAAGGCCGTCGAGTCGGTCCCGAAGCCGATGGTACCTGTCATGACTCTCGAAAAGTCCGCCGAACAACCATCCACCAACACAGCTCCACATCCAAAGGATGCCATGGAGGACAAGGCGACTAGGCAAAGCCTGTCCGTCACGATCGCCAAGAAGAAATCTCGAGAACAGCTGCGAGAAGCTGTGGAAAAGAAGCATAAAAGGCAGAACGGTACGTAACGCCGACACCCAAGACGCTCGTCTGACCTTCGTAGGCCAAGCACCTCGCGCAGCCGATAGTCCCAGTGACTCGTCACGAGCGGTAATCTCCCGCCTGATCGAGAGCGCCACCTTTCCAATGGTTTGGGAACATGGCGTTCTACCCTTTCTGGTCGAGTTCCTCCCAAAGTGGTGCGGCCCGAACCACGTCGTCAGCGTCACCCGCGGCAAGACTCCCGGCTCCCGTCGCGTGTGTATAATGACGAAGAAGCAACCATCACGAGCACGACAGATTATCATCGCAGCCCACGTGAAAGATCTTCTGCCTGAGATCTACCGCCCCACAATATCTTTCGAATTCTCCATCGGCGCCGTGGAACGTCTAGTCTGGGCCCGAGGGTTGAGCAAGGACATGCCAGACGACATCTGCATGGCCCGGAACCCATATTACTTCAAGGACCCATGTATGGGCGACAGCATCGGCATCGCAGGGACCGACGACTTCGAGGAGGGTACCTCAACTCTGGGACCATGTCTAGTCATCGGCGGTGGTAACTACTGGCTAGCCAACTTCCATCCCTTCGTCGACGCGTACCAACACCTAAGCGAAGTCAGCGTGCAACATCCTTCACCAAGCGACCGATCCCGCTGCATCGAGGAACGCCACGATACCATGGACGAATCCAAAGATTTCACCATCGGCAAACTCACCGCAACATCAGGCATCGACCTCAAGACTACCCGCATCTCCCATGACCCTTTTTGGGAAGACTGCGGGAAAGAGCAGCCTTTGATCGTGACGGACTGGATCCTGATCGCTGCAAATACCAAGCAAGCCAATATTCTTCGCCGGTTCCCGTCAGAGACAATGCCCCTCCTGAAAGAAATACCCATCAGGACCACTTCGGCCATTGTGCCAGGCGGGTCAGTTGTATCCACGGGCCGAACATCCGGGCAACAGCGTGGACAAGTCTGCGAAGTACCCGCCTACGTCAGGGGAGAGGACAACGGTACAGGCAAAACTACACGCGAATGGTTCATCGAGGACCCGGACGATGACGAGGAAGCATGGATTCGCGGTGGCATCGGCGTTGAAGGCGACAGCGGTGCCGCGGTAGTCGACGCAGACACCAATGCCCTTGTGGGCCAACTCTGGGGACGGAACAAGTACTTCGGGGCAGGCCCCCGCGTGACCTACTTCACCCCCGTCGGCGACCTCTTCGACGATATCCAAGAACGGTGCGACCAGCAAGGACGGCCCCAACTGCCGCAGTACCGACACGAGTCAGACTGCTACCCTGTCTACCCTAGTTGCCGACAGTGCTACGACCTACGCACCTATCTCGACAGCAGACGCAGCTCGCGCGAATCCCTCCGCTCCATGATCGGCCGACTAGAGAGCGACCACGGCGAGCTGCCCTCGCTCGGTGGCACTTCGGAGCTCGCGACACCACAAGACCACGTCCTCTGGTCCCGCCACACCGGGGTCGAGGAAGTCGGGTCATCCTTCTCCAGCAGCATATCCCCCGCCGCAGTCCACACCTTCGGCTTCACCCCGCAGCCGGGGACGCCCAGCATCGTGGACGTCAAGAGCCC